CATTAAACCGAGTGCCAACTGTCTGCGGGCAGCCGCGCCAGCTGCTGGCCACTGCTGCCAGACCTGCCGCCGGGTGAGGCCGGTTCGGTGTGAGGGGAGGGCGGCAGGGCTGCGTACTTGGTCCCGAGCCCCTCCTCCGGGGCGGATGGAGCCATCATAGCGGACGGAGCGGCCAATTGGCCCTTCCAGTGCCCCGCTGAAGCCCGCGCCCCCACCCCTGGCGCAGAGCGCGGCGGTCCGGAGAAGCAGCCCACCGGCCTGGCCTTCGAGTATCCGCGGGACCCAGAGCACCGCAGCTACAGCGACCGCGGGGAGCCGGGCGCCGAGGACCGGGCGCGCGGGGATGGCCACACGGGTAGGCAGGGACCCAGCCAGGACCGGGGTCGCGGTTTTGGCGCGGCCGTCACAGCGGGTGAAGATATTAGGGACATCTTCCTTCTCTCCCAGACTTCGTGGCGCTGCTGACGGGGCCGAGGTCGCAGGCCGTGGCAAGGGCGCGAGTGATACTGCTGCGCTCTAGTCTGCGTTTCTCCATCTCCTACCGGCAGTGAGAACGGGCCAGGAGGGAGGAAGAGCGGGCTGGGCGCTGGGGCGGGAGAGTTGGGACAGGCTGGAGGGGCTGCTTCTGGCCCAGGCTCAGAGTCCGTGCTCCCCTGCACCCTCATTCCCAGGCTGGACCGTCCCACCCGAATCCGCTTCTCAGACTCCACTGGCAGCGTCCTGTTCGAACACCCTGCAGCTCCGACCCAAGATGGCTTGGTGAGATGATGCCATTTATGAGTGCTTATCTAGTTTGGACACTGTGCTGAGAGTGTGCTCTGCATGACCTCCTTTGGTCCTCACAACAGTCCAATGGGAGGAAGGCACTGACATCATATGCCCATTTTACAGATGAGGAAATTGAGGCTCAGTAGCAGAATGTGATTTGCGCAAGGTCACACAGCTGTAAGTGGTGGAGGCAGGATTTGGACCCCTGGATTCCTTCTTCTTTTAAAAAAAATTTTTTTTTTATTGATTTCAGAGAGAAAGGGAGAGGGAGAGAGACATAGAAACATCAATGATGAGAGAGAATCATTGATTGGCTGCCTCCTGCACACCCCCTACTGGGGATAGAGCCGGCGACCTGGGCATGTGCCCTTGGCCAGAATCGAACCTGGGACCCATCAGTCTGCAGGCCGACACTCTGTCCACTGAGCCAAACAGGCTAGGGGTGGATTCTTAAGCTTCCTAGGAGAGCATGGGGGCTCCTTCCCATATTCCTTCTTCATCAGATAGGCCTCTTCGCTGGCCTATCCTGCATACTGTTTGAGTAGGGTCTTCTTGTCTCTCTGCTCCAGGTGTGTGGGGTGTGGCGAGCAGTGCCTCGGTTGTCTCTGCGGCTCCTCAGGGCAGAACAGCTACATGTGGCACTTGTGACACCCACTCATCCTTCAGGGGAGGTCTGGGGGCCCCTCATCCGGCACCGGGCTCTGGCTGCAGGTGAGGGGAGCAACAGCCCCCGGGCATGAAGCTCTGTCTTCTCTATACCGAGGAATGGAGTGGGCTGCGGAGGGGACTTTCTGATGGGCTCTCTTGGTCCTCCCTCTCCCAGAGACCTTCAGTGCCATCCTGACCCTGGAAGGCACCCCACAACAGGGCATAGGTGGCATCACCCTACTCACTCTCAGTGACACAGAGGACTCCTTGCATTTTTTGCTGCTCTTCCGTGGGCTGCTGGAATCCAGGAGTGGGGGTAAGTGGGATATGGGGAGGGCATGTGAGAAGGGCAGGGAGAGCAGCTGGCTCTCAGCGGTGTCCACATGTACCATCGTTTCAGGACCAGCCCAGGTTCCCTTGCGGCTCCAGATTCTACACCAGGGGCAGCTGTTGCGAGAGCTCCAGGCCAATGCCTCAGCCCAGGTGAGCGAAGGTTTGGCTTTTGTTGCCACCTGCTCTGGCCTCTTGCTGCTCCCATCGATTATCCTGCTCTGTCCCTAGGACCCAGGCTTCGCTGAGGTGCTGCCTAACCTGACAGCCCAGGAGATGGACTGGCTGGTGCTGGGGAAGCTGCAGATAGCCCTGGAGAGGGCAGGTAGCCCAGGGCTGCGTATCAGTGGACACATTGCTGCCAGGCAGAGCTGCGATGGTGAGGCAGGGTGGAGCCTGGCTCCCTGGGCACACGCCACTGAGAGGCATAGACAAGTGCCAGGGGCAGGGCCAGGGTGGATATGGGAGGGATCCTGGGGGCTGGGGGTATGAATGGCCATGGGGCCAGCCTGCCTCCACTTGTCTTGCCCCTCTGCAGTCCTGCAAAGTGTCCTTTGTGGGGCCGATGCCCTGATCCCAGTTCAGACAGGTGCAGCTGGCTCAGCCAGCCTTACACTGCTAGGAAACGGCTCCCTAATCTACCAGGTAAGTCAGGGGCTGCAGGAGGTGGAAGGGCAGTAGATTGAGGCAGAGATTTGGCCTGCAGTTCAGGCCCCAGGCCTTCTCTGCCACTCCAGTTTGCTCTACCCAACTCTGCCTACCAGGTGCAAGTGGTAGGTACAGGCAGCGAGGTGGTGGCCGTGACGCTGGAGACCAAGCCTCAGCGGAGGGACCAGCGCACTGTCCTGTGCCACATGGCTGGACTCCAGTCGGGAGGACACACAGTGAGTGATACAGGCAGAGCTGGGCCACAGGGCCCATGTACCACAATGTGGGGGTTGTGGGAAGCTAAGTTGGGTGGGCAGATAGGTTCAGCATCATTCACTCATTCACAGGCTCTCTCATTGATACATTGATTCACTGGACACATTTTTAGTGAGACTCAGGCCAAAGAGTACAAAGAAAATCAGATATGGCCCCTGTCCTCAGCAAGCTCATGTCAAATGAGAGGAGTAAGACAGGGAGACCAGTGCAGGAGATCACATACTAATTGTGAGAGCAATGGCTGCCGCTTATTGAGCCTTTCTAGGTGCCACGTACTAGACTGGTTGCCTTACTTATATTATTGTTGGCCCTCGCAGTACCCATTTTAGAGATGATGAAGTGAAGGATCAGAGGTGAACTCTTCAAGGTTATTACATACGTAGGAAGTGGCAGAGAAGGGACTTGAACTTGGGCCTGCAAGGTTCTTATTCAGTGTTACTGGTGTGGGGAAGTGTGTATGGGTGTAGTGGGGACACAAAACATGGAAAGGCTTCAGAATCTTAGGCTTGTGTGAAAGCTGAGGAGGGTTCACCTGGGGTCTGGCAGGCTCCAGCTAGGGCTCACCCTTCACTGTCCCCTAGGCCATGGGCGTCTGCCCTGGGCTGGGTGCCCGAGGGACTCATATGCTGCTGCAGAATGAGCTATTCCTGAATGTGGCCACCAAGGACTTCCCAGATGGAGAGCTGCGGGGGCATGTGGCTGCCCTGCCCTACAGTGGGCACAGCGCCCGCCATGACAGTGAGTGCCCATAGGTTTGCCTGCCCTTTGCTGCCCTCTAATCAGTGACTCAAGTACATAAGGGATGGTGTCAGAGCGCTAGAGCCTGATGTGTCTTTCTCTGCGTGAGCTCTAGGTTTGCATCCGGAGATGTATAGGTGGGATGTAAAGGGTGGCCCTCCTGGGAGATCCTCCCTGTTGTGATGGTGCAGGGGTCTAAAACTTGCTGCTCCCCAGCCCTGGGCTTATGGGCAGTGTCTGCCAGCTCACGGGGTCTGTGCTGGGCAACATGGGAATGCCGGGGTTGAGTGGCTGCTCTAGGCCACCTTCTCATCTGTCCCCTCTCCTCTGTCTGGATCCAGCACTGCCCGTGCCCCTGGCAGGA